CAGAATAAATTTGGTCATTTCACAAAATTCATGTGAAAAATCCTCAGTCAGGCCACTATAGGGTTAGGGAACACTGAAATGTCTTGTTACATGCACCACCCATCTACTCCAAACAGAACTCAATGCTCAATGCTCATTTTCATGCAAACGTCTTGGTGTCAAAACCCTACTGTTAGCCCTTCCTGCACCTTCTCATCCACAGAAAGAGGTAATTTTCGGTAAAAGAACTTCGACATTTTACAGTTTATTAAACTGCAGGGTGGTATGGCCATATGGCCAGCAGTCATATCACCCTGCAACTCACAACTGGCAGCCCACAGAAGCTAAGCAGCTGTGAGTCTGACCAGTACCTGGACGTGTGACCACCTGGGAAAAACTAAGGTTGCTGCTGGAAGAGGTGTTAGTGGGGCCAGCAGGGGGCGCTCACCCTGTGGGTCCTAAAGCCCCAGTATAGTGATGGGGACACTATACTGTAAAAAGCACCGTCCTTCAGATGAGATGTAAAACAGAGATCCTGACTTTGAGGTCATTAAAGATCCCATAGCGTTTCTCGAAAAGAGTAGGGGTATTAACCCCAGTGTCCTGGCTTTTACCAATCATGGCCTCCTAATAATTCCCATCACTGAACTGGCTTCATTACTCAGTTCTCCTCCCCACTAATAGCTGGTGTGTGGTGAGTGTACAGACGCACTATGGCTGCTGTCGCATCATCCAGGTGGGAGCTACACACTGGTGATGGTGGAGGGGATCCCCATTACCTGTAAAGCGCTTTGAGTGGAGTGTCCAGAAAAGCGCAATTTAAATGTAAGCAATAATTATTATGACAGTGTTGCCTACTGCCTCCTGTATAGAATGACACCTGGTTGTAAAACAAGTCAGTGGGAGTGTTTCCTAATGGGAATTCTCTAGATTCAAATGTCAGCCCAGCTTGTTGTGCTGTCCCAAGCTCCTGAAAATCCCTGGGTTTTTGTATATACAGTACGATGAACTTAAAATTTAGGATATGAGACCTGGACCAATTGGGGTTCTCTTCGACTGGTGTGGTACTGGGAGCTCATCTAAAAGGCAGCGATGACGGTCCGCGTGTGTGGTTCTCATGCTCCTCAAGTGGTGCACAGAAACTCTGTTTGGGGTTTCGGGGTCACACTGCCATCTGGCCTCATGCCACTGCCACTGCAGTCAATGACAGTGAAGACCTGGGGAGAAGGGGAGCGGAGGGGCGCCTACCTTGCTGGTTTCCTCCATCTGCGTCCCGCGTTTCCAGGCTTCGGAAAAGATGGAGCTGACGATGCTCTGGGAACGCACGTGTCCCGAGGACTGGGTGTCGGAGACGCCGCTGTCGGACTGGTTTGAGTGGTTGGAATGGGACTCTGCAGGAGAGCAGGTGCATGTCAGCACGCTGAAGCAATCGCCAATTCCCCATGGTAGCTCAGCTCAAAGCAATAAGCACACCATTTGGGCTCTCTTCTATAAAGCCTGAATCCTACTCTTGCCGAGTCACTATGGGCATTCTCCTAATTTTGCCATTAACCTAAACCTTTGTAAGGCATGGTGTCCTGTTTAATGCAGCTGGTTGATTGCTGACTGTCAGGACTGTGAGTAAGCAGTTTTCATTTCTCCAACGCCTATGGAATTCACAGATGACGTGGAACGTTCTAATTAACCTGATAATCAGTTCTAACCATGAAAACGTCAAATCGAGACTCATGAACAGCTGGTTAGTTCTGAGATGCCCTTCTATCTCCTTATTGTGGGATAATACCCAACTGCTACACTTAAGTACCGTTAAGACATAATAAATCCGAAGTCGTGAAACTTAAACCGAAACACTTAAGGAGGCTGATAGTCTCTCATTTATACATGTGTTCTTTTAGCCACAGGTAATGGCAGACAGCTGCATTTCAGCAGGTTGTTCCGGTGCAACATGCTGGTTGACTCAAGCAAAGTAATATTTACCACAGGAGGTGAGCAAGACTTGACAGAAAAATCAATGTTTTGTACATGGCTCACAGCAGCAACGTAACAGCAGAGAGGAATATTTTTGACAGTATCTGATACTAGTGGATTGAAAATGATGATGAAAAGCATGATTAAAATTGCTGGATTTATGGATATTTTGGTCATGGGAAGTTGTACAGGAGGTTGCCTTATTCAGTGATTACTTCAGGATATCTTAAGGAATGACCTGAATGACCCATATAGTTCTATCATATATGAAAGTGCTGAAACAGAAGTATAGAGTTCTCTCTCTTCTTCCGTTTCTAGAAGTATGTTTGAGCACAACTTTTCTAGGTGTTTTTGCACATCCTGTGGTGTGAAAGAATTGGCTTTTCTACTGCAGGAAAAAGTTCACTTATCTTTTTGCAGATTCTTAATGCATAACATTAGGAATGCTGAAGACATTTTATCTCTAAACATCAAACGACACTCATATTGATGAGAAAACTGAAAAACAGGATTTTGTTCAGAACACTTGTACACTTCTAAAAGAACTCCAATGTACGTGTACATAGGGCAATAAACTACTCTACTTCTCTTCACATGTCAGCTAACTGACAGTGCTGTGGTGGAAATGGGAAATGGATGGTGCTTAGAGGCTTCACCTGGCAAGCTGGAGGAACTGGAGCCGGATTTCATACTGGAGCTGGAGAGGGAGGACCAGTCATAAGCAGCCTCAGTCCTCTTCATGGCCTCCTGGTAATTCACATACAGCTGCCTTCCATACTGCGAAGCCACAGCAGACAAGATTCAGAACAAAACAGCAGCCCAACTTAACAGCAGAAGAGGCATTCTTCACTTCCCCAGACGATTCTTCTTTTCAGTTCGTTCACTAATTCATCTGGTTCAAAAAATGTAATTTTTTTAAACTGTAGAACAAAAATGATTTTCAAGGTTTTCTGACGCCTTAAACACTGAATAATTCCAGCGAACAGCAGATAAACTTTGCAGAGGGGTTAACAATACCCAGTGTACAGCATCTAATAAGTTGATAGATACCTGTAAGTATTTCACATTGCAAAGAGAAGAAACATTGAGTTTCTTTTCTTCTCTTTTCAGCATGGAATAAACCTTTACTTGTTCCTTTGCAGCCTACGCATGCTGACGCAGCTCCCTACTTGAATTATTTCACATTGTTAAGGTTTCATCATGAATTACATTTGCATGGGTGTTCCCAGAGAAGCTGGACCACTTGAGACTGCTGGAAAGATGCAGTTACCTTGGCGATACGGATCCCATTGACCCACTGATGGAGAGTCCTGACGTCATCACAGCAAAGGTACTTGATGTACTGAGACTTCTTCTGAATCTGCGGATGCTGCACAGAAAAGAGAGCCATTAACTCAGCATCGGACTACTGTCAAACAATAAAGCTAGTCTTTAAGAGGAAGACGAAAGCACTGAGCATAGGTTAGATCCATTTTAGACAATGACATCTGGGATCTCTAACTGAAGGGAACTGGGGCAGCCTGTCTATACTCAGGCAGAGTACTGCATCTTGTTAGACAAGCAGTGAAGCGTGGGCCATCCTGTGTGAATTTCACAACTGGAAAAGCATATTTAATTGACTGAATATCACAAAAGACAAACTTATATCCCCCTCTTAAGTTAAGGGGTTCATTTTCCAACATGGGCCCACTGCTCACTTATAGTAAATCATATGGCAGGATAGTTTGTGCACAGTGGAATACGTTGATTAAAAAGTAACATAATCCTTTCAATGCTAATATCACATTTCTCTTCAGCAGTGAGTTCAGCAGGCTGATAGATTTCCTAAGGGAAGGTGACACACTTTCATTTGTGGCTTTTCTATGAACGCATATGTGATTCCTATCAATGAATCAGGGCGAAACACCATCAAATTATTGCAAATTTGACTTTAAGGTGTTGTTGAAGAGTAGAAAGAAAGTCGAGTCTCCTTTCAAGCTCTTGAAATTGTGTAAGCTTTAAAATAAACGACTTTATACGAGTCTCATGTTTCAGTGATGGTGCTTGTTCACATGGGTCAATTAAGACATTATGAAAGAACCAAATTCTAAGACCAAGTTGTCTAAACCAGGAATCTTAGTTTTAAAGAAATCATTTTTAAGACACAAACATGACATTCATCACCAATGGTTGCAATTTTGCAAGCAATATTACATGTTCAGTTCAGTCTGGATGTCCTACAGCATCTTAAGTATCCAGTGGTGAAAATAAGTTTGTGAACCTTTTGGTATCACCTATATTCCTGCATTAATTGCTCCTAAATGTGATCCTCTACTAAGTAATTTAAATAGACACACAACTCAAATGAGTCCCAAGATCCAAAATTATTGTGTTATAGAGCTCAGACCTACATGTAGCTATAGGTCATGGTCAAACAGCAGTAATTGTCAACTGGTATGGCTTTGATTTTATTCCTACTTGACCCACAGCTGTGCTACTGTTTTAATCTGCCCTTCAGATTAAAGCCAACAGCAACAGCTCTTTCTTGTTCAATAGGCCAAAGAGAGATTTCTGTGCTGAAATGTAGCACAGACACCATGCCAGCAAATCACAAAAGTCTTTAATGTCACCAGCTGTAAAGACCCTGAAGTATTGCTCAGAGCCCAGGAGAAATATTGCTTCAACGGAGCCCTCTCTACACCCCAGTACACGCATGCATCGTTTGGCACCATCAGAAACATTATACCCCCAGAAGAGGGATTAGTATCCACTGTTAGAAACAGTTTCAGCAGCTAAACTACAAATTGAAGGTTTTCTACCTCTTAGTTCTGCTGCCAGTTACGTGCACTGAGAAAAGTGAAAAGGACCATCATCTACAATTTTACCGGGATGTTTAAACCTCTCGCTTCAGGAAACTCTAGATGTATTGTAACATACTGCACTAGGTCACAAACTCCAGAAATCTTTCCTCCTGGGTTGTATATGGAGTGGATAAAACATTCCGTTTAATTTGTGCGGTTAATCTCCGAGAGATAAGAGCTTCCATGGAGCAAAAAAAAGGCGTCTGATAGGTCTGCTCTTCGTAGTCTATCCATTTATGCAATTTTGCACTTCATTTGGAACTAATAAAATCCTAAATGAGCCTGGTTGTATTGTACCAAGATCAGGTCAGGTGGGTTTCAGCTTCAGAGCCGATTCCTTATTTTAATGGAATACCAGGATTTGTTCATTCAAATTCCTGTTTTTGTGTCTCTTACACATTTTGGAAATTGTCTTTTAACTACTGGCGTTTCCTTAAGTAACTTCAACTTTCGAACAGAAAACAATACCTTGCGGGCTCAATTAAGTCTCCAGTTGAGTAACGAGCCGAAATGAAACCCAGCAGGAGTTTGGGCCTCCGGGCTCAGGCCTGGGAGTCTGCACAGCACTAGACTGTAGGGCTGGCCGAGCTCTGGGTCTGGAGCCCTTGGAGCCGAATCCGGATTCAGAGCCAGAGCGAAGCCGGAGCTGGGGCTTCCCAAGTTCCGGAGCCTGGACTCTGGAGCCTGGAGCTGAGCCGCATCAGGAATGAATGACTTGAACCCAAAATCCATCTAGCATAGGCCTGGCATTTTTCAGTAATGGAAGAAAAAAGGGCTTTGTATTTCCATACTTCGCACCGAGTATTCAAAGGAACAAGTAAAGGTTTATTCCATGCTGAAAAGGGAAGAAAAAAAAAACACAAAGTTTGGGCTGTGGAGCCTTCTTCAGGTGTGAAGAAGGCTCCACAGCCAAAACGTTGCGTTGCTTTGCAGCCTATGCATGCTGACGCAGCTACCTACTTGAACTACTGAGTATTCAAGAACCCACACTTGTAGACGACGTGGTATATACTGAGAGCACAGTAAGATATGGCACACCAAGACAACACAATGGTGGGGGTCTTTCACAGGATTATCCATCTCTAGCTTAACTCCCCACGTTACCACTGCAACTAATCAACTGGTTATTGCACCACATCACTCAAGCTCAAGACTGGAGTCGCAGCTGGGGCTCCTAATCGGCTCCACAGCCAGGCTGGAAGCCGGAGCTGCTCCGGATCCAGAGTCGGCAAAGCCGGAGCAACCCAACCCTACCTGAATGAAATCCACAGAAGGTCCCGCAGTATATCCTTCCTTCCCACTAGATGGCAGTGCAGGACCACAACCTGCTCAACAAACAGGCTGAGGATACATTTCATTTTTCCATGCCTTTTTTCAAATTGCTGTTTTTTTTTTCCCTTTACCGGATGAAATTAAGACACCTAAGATAATTTTGCTAACTTGTGCTCTGCCCCCGATAAGAAGAAAATAAGCCAAAAAAAAAACTTCCATTGTCAGAGATGCATCAAGGCTAAGGATAAGCTGCCAAAACTGCCTGCTTCATACGATACAAGACACCTTCCCTCATTCTCATTCAGCCAGTGTCACCATGCTTCAGTCTGCACCGGAGGAACAAAGGACAGTCCGCCAGTCTCCTGCCCCCACCCCAGAAATCACCTCGAGCGCACACTGACCCACCTGCTGACACAGCCAGCCTGCCACTCTCCTCGCAGAACAAGACCGAGGTGTCAGTCTGACAGACACGCACACCAGGCAGAGGGAAGGTTGCAAAGCTCAGTACCTGACTAACAGGAGAGATGCTTTTTTTCGCTTCTCCACCAAGAATGACCGGGTCCCCCTAGTGGCTCCTTCGTGTTACTGCACAACAACTTGATAGAGCTCAGTCAGACTGGTACAGCTACTGTATGAAGATACTTATACACGGAAAATCTCCTTGGTTGGTAATGAGGCCTGCATGTATTTTGTCAAAAATAAACTTTTGCCGTTTTCCTGCTATCAAGGCAGAAAAGCAGGGCTTCTATGCATCAATGTAAAAACCAGCCATCCACCAAAAGCACTGGCTTAAAAAGCCTGCATACTGTAACTGGCTGTCTCACTCTCAGAAACGTACAGTAGGTGGTTGGGATAACATTTGAAAAGGCCTTGAGCTCCATAAAATAAGACCAACTTTCAGAAACTTTTAAAAGAAATCGTATTTTTCTCCATAGTTTCAAACCCACAGCATCCTGAGTAACGAGATTTCTGCAGAAGATGGAGGTAAAAAGTTAGTCCGAATAATACTTTGAGGGCACAGTTTGGCTCGTTCACAGCATATCTAACTAATCCCATCAGCATTTTCCTGAAGCAGAACAAAAATCAGAACCATGAAAGTGTAGCGACGTTCAGTGAAAGTCCCTTATGCGAGTTCTGGATAAAGTGTTACTCACATTGGTATCTAAAGACGGCCCCACTGAAGAGCATCAACAGGCTTCATCAAGCTAACAAGATTCTAATTGGAATTTTCAATGGAAACCTTGTAATCTTTAAAGACACGTTTCCTGTCGTTTTGAGGGCAAATATGACACATCTAATGTTACATTTTTCTTTCTCACATTGAATTGTGCCGGTTTATGAAAATGAGTTTAGCAGTTGTAACTTTTTAGAAGAGAAGGACTATCTAATGTTATTGACAGAACCAGTTTTTGGGGTAGGACATCATCTTATACTTGATAATTACAATTATCCCTACTTGTTTTGCCGATTTTGGCACATAAAAATGGACATCATAATCATGATCATTATGTAACGGTCATACTGCAGTCCAGTGTGAGTGTGAATATTCACACCTTTGGGGTGATGAAAGTCCATTAACAATGAACCTCCCTGCTATTGGATGATCACACACAACTTGAGTCTTGTATAATAGTGCACAATATGTATAGTGCCTAGCAGATGATATTTAATGTAGACAAGTACAGGGTACTGCAATAAAAACAAAGTATATGCTCGTTTTAAAATGTATTTCTTCTGGACAAGGTATACAGTAGTTAAAAGCGTAGAATGTAAATCAATGGATAGTATGTTCAAATTGTACAAATATCTAGTAAGACTATGCAGAAAACTGTGCATATTTGTTTCAACACATTACAAAAACAGATATTGCTGCTCTGGGCTCTGTCCAGAGAAGGGGATCCAGATACATTCCGAATAATTTTTGTCTCAAAACAGAGACTTTTACGAGAGGACCCGTGTCAGAGTGTTCAACTTGTAGCAAGAGGAAATTACAAGGAAATACATCTGAACACGAGAATAGGATAAATTTTTTTGGATACAGGATTGTGGGAATATGGAACGGACTACCCAGCCATGTTATTAAAGACAAAACACTGGTTTATCTCAAGAAAAATATGTTGATATTCTTGGATTATGTAGCTGCCATCTACAGTACCAAAGGTCAAGATAGGCCAAAAATGCCTCCTCTTTCTTGTTACCAGACTTACTGTATGTTCTTAACTGGGTTACACTTGGGCTTTCTATGCCTGCTTGCTTTTGATTTATTGTGAATCATCTTAAGAACGAAATATTCTACATGGACTGTTTTTATAATTATAATTAATAGAGAGACTTTCCTCTTTGGACACTCAGCCTCAAAACAGAATAGAACGTTTCTCACACTTTTACATACGGCTGACGAATAAAAATCAACAACACAGACAGGGCAGACAGGAGCGGTAATGCTTCCTCAGTTTGTGCAATTAAAAGCTGTCACAGCACAGCTCATTGCTGTTTTACCGAGGCTGTTGCGAAATAAGTCAGCGATTTAAATCCTGTAGGTCAACTATCACACTCATCATGAAATGGAATCTGGGAGAGAATTCTCTTCCGAAGAGGGAGCAAAATTTGCCCAGAGAAAACAGTAACCAGGATGAGAAGAACCTAACAGAAAAATAGCAATGCTGGCTGAAGAATACATTAAAATGCTCCTTCAGTTTAAGTCATTTGTCCTGTAACTTTAATAAAATCAGGTTGCCCAGTTAAGTCTGAATGAATACCTTTGCTCTGAAGATTTAACAACATTTAACACAGGACAGTCTCGCCAAAAGATGATGTAGATCTACCCACAGCCAGGGATACGCACAGCTAGGATATTCATTTTAGTATTATTACAAATAAAAAAAGCCCTGCATTGAGACAAGGGGATCTGGATGAGCTATAATTAGGGTTTAAAGTAATTTAAACTTCTGAACCATGTTTTTTGAGGAACTACAGTAAGTCCTCAGAAAACAAACACGCCACTATCAAATTATTCAAAAACTTGGAGCGAGACAAAATCAAAACTGCTTTTTCTGAAAGGACTGGGATAAAGATTCTCCCTGAGGAAGACTTGGGAATAGATTCTGGATCATATCTTTCCCCACAAGCTTATAGCAAAACCTTCAATAAGTAACCATAATATCTGGTGTGGTCTTTCATTATTATAAGGACATAAAGAGGAACATGACTTGGAATTCGTCTGTTTTTTCGAAAGTTGAAAAGCCTGTGAAAAGTACCTTGAGGGCCAGGCAGTAGTCAGAGGGTGCTTTGTACTTGTTGCGATAGTCCTGTCCATAATAGACGTTGACATGGTCCAGCTGAAGGAAACAGACCAAGTCCCTTGAGACCTGCAAGAGTGAGAGAGAGGTTGGGAAATACTGAATACTGAGGAGTCAACTTGAACACTTTCAACAGCACATGTAGCAACAGAAGTATTTCGTTCCCACATTTTTGTGATTCCTAATTGTTAAGAAATCTTATTTGACCCATACAAATAATCTTCCATACCAGAAAGCTGAAACTTATCAAAAATGCCTTTTCTATACAGTACATTTCCAGCACTATGAAAAAGTGAAAATGACTTTTACAGCACTACTTGGGTTACAATCCAGGAGAGGGTTTGCTATGTTCAGAAGTTGGAAGCTGAGAAAATCTGGTTGGAGTTACTGTGAGAAACATTGGTCCTAGAGTTCAATATGAACAACAGACTCCATTAGAATCTCTGCAACAGGCTGTTAGACATTGTAAAGCAGACAGCATTTGTGTAGAGGGTAGTCCATTATTTTGTACTCATTTGTATTCAGGCAGCTATCATTCACTTTTGAGTCATCATTTAGATCCTAAGGCTGTTTGTTTTAGTTAAGCTTCTAAAGAGAGACGTCTGTAACTGTAACTATCTACACCACCAACAAACCAGCAGAAGTTGTTTGTGAAACCAGAAAGGAGTTCCTTCAAATTTAGGGGCACTTTGTATTCAACTATTATTTCTTTCGCTTAAAGGGGAACCGCAGTCCCAATTTCTCAGACCAGTTGTTAAGTCTCGGTAACAAAATAAATTCATTACCGGTATAGAAACATTTTACAAATTTCGAAGTAAGCACAAAATCGTGACTTTGTGAAATTACCCTGAGTCTCCATGTTGTCACAAACTTGTATATGCCGCTGCCCGTACCTGGAAATTTAATCTATTTTGAGATGTAAATTGGAGGTTTTACACATTACTGTGTACATTTTACTTTTCTTGTGGTTTGAAATGCTGATTCTTTGTAACCCCAAAATATAAAAATAGCACTGAAGTCCCCCTTAAAAAGTGCTAAGCATTCTAATGCTTCAAATAATGTACACAGTCCTCATTAAGGAAAAATAGGAAAACCTTGAGAAACAAAGTGAAAATGGAATGGAAACAGCAATTCACTCTCCTTCTCCCCGAAAGAGATGGGGTGCACAGAATGTTGACCTGCTGGCATAGTGTGTCAACTGACGATGCACCTCGCTTGAGTGAGCATCATAAAGCTGAAACCAGGTGCGATTTTAAAAAGTCTTAAAGTGTAATAACCGACAAAACATTTTTTTAAAACACGTCTCCCTCAAGCCGAGGGGTTTTCTTTTGAATGGTGTTCTTCTCAATGAAGAGACAATGACCAGTGAAAAACAAATATAGGGAACATTAAAACAGATCCAAATGGGAATATTAAATCTTGTGAAAATGTGCAGTTGACTAGATAAGTATACTCATGACGACTCCTGGAACATTTTTCCTGAAACACATATTGAACAAAGGCCAGAACACTGCAAGACTGCCAGGTTCCGACTCACCAAAATTAGAGTGGGAATCTGATTCAGAGTTTGGGCTGAGTGCAGCCCAGATGATTAATTCAGTGTTGAACCTCTACGTGCTTCTTATCCAAAAGGAAGCACATGACAGTCTTCAAACTGTCTGGTTCTAACGAAAGCATTACTGGCTTTAATCTAGAAATTTGGTTTAAAAAAACAAACAAACAAATTTTAACGGCCTGTTTTCTAAACCCAATGAGAAATGTCTGTAGGTGACACTTATTTCACTTTGGTGAAATTCATAATTTCATAACTTCATCAGAAAAAATCCCTTCATGCTGTGTTAAAGCTTTTGTTAAGTTCAGAAACCTATCCTCCATCATAACCCATCATAAACCACATAACAGGGGTTATAATCGACAATTTTGCCACTTGAGAATCTGCAAAAGCAGTGTTGGCATTAGGGAATGATCAGATTTAAATGCTGTGAGTTGTCTTTGGCTAGTTAAGGAAAAAGTTCAAATTCTTGGGCCAGGAAAGCAGACAGGCTGACACAGCCAAGAAGCTTCATTCATAGTTCCAGGTCTTGGCAAATTGGGGAACAAAAGAAAGTGATCTAAGACATAAATCAATATCTTGCCTGGCTGGAAAACAAAAATGCATCAGAAAAGAATGATTTTGAGTCCACACTCTTTAGAAATGAAAGCAAAGAAAAAAAATACAGCAGTCTGCAGAATCAAAGCAATGAAAAACAGAAAAATTAGAAGGTGTGCACCTGATTTGGAGCGTGAGCACTGCAGGGTTACCGACACTGATCAAAGAAATTAATCAAAGAATTTTGGCCAACAGATGTACACGCAAGTGAGATGTTATTCTGGATTTCCAAAATAGAAATGACCCACGTTCCCAAGGAAAGACAGTAATTATATACTGCAGCTGTGATTCTTGACAAACACAACAAAGAATTCTGTCCCAATATCTCAGCGACTGAATACAGAGAGTGTGGGACAGTAAGCAAGAACAGAACAACAAAATATCAAGCTGCTTTCTGAAACCAATATGATTGACAAATGAGCATTTTAACTTCCCCCCACTTATTCTGCTTTTTTTCTCCCAAACAACTTTTAATAAAGTTAATTTAAAACAATGCAACCAGAAAGAAAGGACCCCTAAAATTAAGCCAAACCACTGCAATAGAAATACTGTGAAACAAAGATTTGACATTGTCAATAGATATAGCACACTCAGCTGCCCACAACCTGAACTCCCCTCTCCTGGCACTATGGATCAGAGCAGTAAAGCGCATCGTATAAATGACATCAAGGCAGGACTGGATCCAATGATATCAGATCCGGGAATGCAAAAGACATCGTTTGAGCTGAGGAGTAACCAGCCAGCCAGATCTATTCCAGATGCTGCGAATTGGCCGAGATTGGAGTTATCACTTAACCGCAGTGCTAGGATAGAGCAAGGCATAGATAAGAGTATGAGGATTAGGAAGATACACTTCCAATCAATCCTGTCCTTATTCTCTGTCCTGCAGGCGCTTGACTTTCACTTTTATTGTGTGTTCCTGTTTGCCTGCGAACGAAAAGGTTGGGTTTACAATTGCTTCCAGGTTTCTCAACTGCTCAACCAAAAAGTCTTTCCTGGCTACAGAAATCAGCTTCTCGGTCTGCAATGTCTTAAGGATACAGGCGCATATTTCGATTTAAAGCTATGGCCATTAAAATTGCTTTCAAGGCAATGGATGGGTTCTTTCTTACATATTTAACCTCATATTACTCGCATTAATTCAGAAACCAAAGTATCAAGAAACCTTGTGTTACACAGCCAGGCTGGCCTGGATACACATATAGTAGAGACTGACATCAGGTTCTGTCACTGGGGCCTGAAATGACAAAGTCTTTTCTCTTTTTTACCCCAAGGATTGTTTCCTGTCCTGCCTCTCACCTTGGCTTTCCCCTTGGGCACAAAGTAGATCCCAGAGGCTCGGAGCAAGAAGTAGCGTTTCTTCCAGGATTTTTTCCCATCTTCTTTCAGCCACAAGACTCCCTCAATCTCCGGCACGGTTACCGAAGACCCGCAGAAACACTCCTGTGGAGAAGAAAAGTCCGTCACTGCTGTGGCTGCAATTTGGCAAAATGGGTATTAACACATGCGAACGTATTGGAAAATGCTTACATTTTTTTAAACTTATTTTTCAATTATTGTATTATTTTGACGTCATTTGTCCCCTGGTGACTTGACCCAGGCTCGAACCCGTGACATCTAGGTCACAGAGCTCTCCTGCACTCATAGTGAGCACCTTGCCTGACCAGTCAGGAGCTCATGCGATCCTGACATTACTATATCGTGCCTGTTCGCAAGTAGACAGCAGTTTTCCTTTCATTTATTTCTGTGTTTTACGTAAAACACAAGGCTACATGGAAGAAATGCAAAATTTGGCACAGAAATCAAGTTTAAAGGTCCTGACAAATCCTCTTTCAAATCATTTTTTCCCCACTAAACACACAGCTCTGTCTTTCCTTAAAAGCTAAACTGAACAATCTGTATGGCCTGATTACTAAAACAAAGTTGATATTTAGCCCATTAATGAAAACCATGCCTGAATTTTAAATATTTTGTTTAGGCCACTAAGACTGTCTGTGCAGTACGCACACCTTTTTAACTAGGGGAGGCTTGGAGGGGCCACATGGAAACCCTAAGGACTTCCTATTTTTAATCTAAAGGCTTTAAATGAGGTGTCTCAAGCAATGCCTGATGCTTATCTTTAACCGTTGTAGGTATGTCACAAGGATAATTCATGCCCTCCTCGTGGACAGTCTAATAGCAGAACTTGTATGCATGCAGTTTTACCTCCAGTAGCGCTTCCTTGTTCCTGTCTGCCATTTCAGAGGTCTCCTTCTTGCCCAGTAGGTAGTTCTGTCATTCACAAAGAGAGACACGCTAATCAGGATGACACGCAAAAACACTGCACCTCTCTCTCTCCACTAACAAGCCTGTCCAGGACTCAAGCCCTGCTTCAGAAGAAAACAAGATCAAGGTCACAAACGAGCAGTCATATGATCCAGCTAGTCTGTTGGGTAATTATTTGATCCAAGGATCTTCACTTGAAAAGCCAGAGTTAGACCTTCAATAACTGGTGCAGACCAACACCCTTCTCCCACAACTATTAGGGTAAAGAAGCAAAAAAAGTTCCTCATCTCCTTGCACCAGCAAGAACTTTGAACACATGTATCGGGTCCACTTGTAGCCTACTCTGTTCAAGACTAAAAAGGTTCAGTTCCTTCAGCCTGTCAGTATAGGACATTCCTTGAAGTATCTGTTTGCTGTACTCTAGACTGATTCCTGGGCAGCAACATTTTCTATGTAATATTGTGATCAAATCTGTACAAGGCATTCTAAATGAGGCCTAACTAGTGCTTTATACAATTTTAACATTGCACCCATTCATTTGAATTCTACGCTTTTAACTACAGTATGTAGCCTAACATCAATTGCCTTTTTTATTGCTTTCCCTACCTCTGTGCCTTAACAACGTAGGAATAACCGTTAGCTCTTGAAGTAAACTATTTTTAATACACTCGGCATGCCCTGTAAAGTCCTGTGAAATGCACAAGCAGACTGGCTGCTGCAAGGAAATTTGTTATTTCATCCCTAGAGAGCTGCTTGTACTTCTCACCTAAAAAAAGAAACTATAGTTAACGGGAAACAAGCATCTTAACACTATAAATGTGCAGAATTCCCAGCATTCCCCCAGGGCAGAATCAGCTCCTGCAAACTGTTACATTCAGCACAAAGTACAGAATAGCCTATTTTAAAAAAGCTGTGTCAGCACAAGTGAGACGTTGTTATGCGTCATAAATGGGACACAGTAGAACCTGAAGACAGCACAGTACTGTAGAGAGTTTCGCAGGTCAAGTCCTTCTGCCTAATTCCAGGTCCCAATCCTCTTCACCCTCCTAAGTGAAGCAAACAGTGCTTTTGAACAATGTGCCACTCGGGACAACTTTAATAACACTACTAACAATGCTAACTCATATTTATGTAGTACTTATCATCTGTGAAGACACAGATAGGTCAAAAGAACCAAATATTTGTAGTCATGACCACAAAGGACTATGATGGGATCAGCTTAGAGTCAAGAATTCCAAATCCTCAAAGGTAGAGACAAAGGCAGAGCAATGGACTCCAGGCAAGCTTTATTTATCTGTTTGACCTCACTACCATTTATCAGCCTAACTAGATTGAGATTTTCGATATCTGCACCATATTGTTTTTATGAAACATCTGAATCTAAGATATGTTTTCTTTACCCTTCTCGGTTCACTTTTGCTGTAATTCACTGAAAGCAGTATCAATCGACATGCCAAGAAAATCCAAGTTATTTGTTTGCTGGAATTGTTAAACTCTATTATTATTTCCTTTTATCCTAGGGTGGCAAATTTAAGGATTTTAAAACTCATATGGTTAGGTGCTGCGAGACTACTACCAAGAGATTAACTCCTCTCGCTTAATCCAAGAAAGTATTACTCCATCTGTAGTGAAAGGCCATACAGATCACTTTTGGATTTTATGCGGCTTGCATATAACACAGATTAATTATACTGTTCTTTGAAAGATACAATTTGATACAACTTTGTTAAAACATAATATTCCTCCTGAAATTAATTTCAGATGCTTTTGTTTCATAAAAATATGAGGCATAACATTAATAAATCTGTCAGCTTCAGAATGTTTAGAATCCCTATAAACCACTCCCTGGGTAACTTGGTTTAGGACAGCATAAATGTCTCATGGTGTATCTACAGTGAACAAATATGTGAATTCAACATTTTGGAAATGTAGCAAACCAAAGTATTACACAGCATGATATGATTCTACTCAACAGCTGAAAACCTACAACTTTAAAAGGAACAATACAAACAGGAAAAACAGACACAGTTAAACACAAAAAAAACAGAAAAAAGAGCAGTTCTCTGGATCCCAAAAGGACCGCTCAACAGAAATGCTACAGGTTTTCTTGAAGGCTAATACTCAATGATTTACTTATTTTTTGTGCATAATATGATGACCTAGTTTTATAAAGACTGGTAAAACATGCAGAAGAATTAGTTCTCTGCAGCTCCAGATCTGCATTTTCCAATCATTATACAGACTGGGCTAACTTGGAGGAATTCAAAAGAGAGAACTGAGGAGGAATTATGAAAGTGGTTTTCCTGTACATTAAAGTTACCCCACTTATATAATAAAAATAAAAAATACAATTTGATATCATAGTAAAATGACTGCTTGAATTCAGTACATTTTCACATTTAATAAAGTATAAAAATCAGAAAAAGATCAAAGAAAGGCTACAGAGACAGATATATGTGAATAATGTGACACCTTGCTAGGATGAATCCATTTCCATCTTTCTAATTGGTTCAAACTCTACAAGCTATTCCTTTACGCCAATTTCATTCTTTGAGTAGCTCAGCTGGTGAGATCATCCATTAGGCCTTCACACCTGCCACCTCACCTGTGGGTTCTTAAACAAGGCGTATTTTTCGATCCTCTCGATGAACATGAGCTTGTTCTGGCTGTCTCTCGTCCAGTTCTGCAGATTCTCCACCAGATTCTCATGATCTTCAAAAATTCTCTCTGAGGTAATTGAAGGGGAACAAGAAATTAGTTGCAGTCTGAATTTCTGGTCATGTTTTTAAATTGTTTCAGGTTTCAAAGAACTTGTGCTTTACAAAAGACAAATTAAATCACTTAACTATGGATCCGTGTTAAATTCTGAAAATTATTATACGCGTCTTGTTTTCTATCTTTAATCTAAAAGAGTGTTTGAAGAAGTAAGGTACTGGAGTTTCTAAAGACTTGAGGCTGGTTGGCGATGAGGTTGGGAACACGGATCCGTGCAGGTGAAAAGCTCACATTCTCTTCCCCCTCCCTCCATCTTTTAAGATACCCCTTATACCTCGTTCCATAAACCTCTGAGACTGTATGCTTGGTCTCATAAATAAAACAAAGATCACAGACATGTAAGCCATCCCACATAAAAATGTCACTGGGCTTGCTTTTCCTGAACAATCATAAGAGCATTACTGATCATCCAGAATCCAGGAAAGAATGAGTAACACTGACAGCTATCGGTTCAAGACCTCCATCCAGATTCACTGGGAATCACAATTCCTCTTTTCCTTTCACCATTACCTTCTGTACCATGCACCCCTATCATCTAGTTATAACAAGGCAAAGCAGATCCAGTGCTGCTTTGAGACGATTATGACAAATACAATACTTTGCTCTTAAAATAGGCCATGCAGCCTCCAAAGGCTAATAAGAAAATGAAAGAAAGATCTATATGATAATGATAGCAATCTGCAACTGTTGTCCAAAAGATAGCTGAATTGCACATTACTGTGAATAATCAAACAAGTAAAAGCCCAAACTCAGTTACTTGTCAAAGCCATGTTTTTTTGATTGATTGCACGAATAGTTTTACTCAATCTTTTCAGAACCAAATCTGGATTTGAATAAAATAGTTTTCCAAATGCCCCCCTCACCTCCCTTTTCCTTTTTTTTTAACCACTTACTGTTTTGGACAGTATATACAGAAAGTGTATGCAACATGGTTTTCTTGTGTGCGCATGTAGAATTTGAAGGAAGCTTAAATGCCAACTTCAGTTGGATTAAGGGATTTGTCCTGAAATTTTCATCAAAAGCAGAAGCTTTTGAAAAAGGAAGCAATTTGTTGCACCCATTTCTAACCACAGCAATCTTCCTCTTTTATAGCATCTATAAACCTACCTCTATCAAACTACCTGTGTGGTTATGATAAAACACAATACTGGCCAACTAACATTAACACAATGAAAGAATTCATCTGCATTGTTTAACTGCAGTCCACATTTCAAGGATTACAGCCTAGCAATTTATTGAATGCATTTCATACCTTCTAAAACCCTGTGCAGGATTACGTCTTTCCTATTTCCACTGCTCGTAAATTAAGATGATATAGCTCTCAATTCTATTTCAAACTTTAAAGAAATGAAACTGGGACAGGTTGACGAAAACAGCTTGGACTGGTCAGCATCAACACTGAAGGAAGATTGATTGTATTTAAAGCCAATCGTTTGAATCTAGCTGGTGCAGTTCTCTCGGCTAACTGATCTCTCCAAACGTACTCTTACTCTTTGATCACCACAGATCGCCACAGTAGCAAGGGAGCAATCTGGAAGGAAGGCACAGAAAGATTACTTTATTTTGGCTTCTACTGGAACTGAGTCTGAGGTCTGAAACTTTCTCTCTCCATGTTTTTTTTAGCATTTGAATTTTGTATTTTAATAACAGAACTTTTAATACAGTATGTATACTGTGTGAGTTTGAATGAAAAAAACTTTTGGCATACAGTATGTTCCCAAGAAGGAGGGAATTGATTTCCTTGCTTAAGTTCGAAGCTACAGTGTGTTGGATGTAGTAGTTTCTAGAGTGAAGTGCTCTGGGATCTTTTGGATCTCATTAGATTTACTTGGATCTGGGTAGCCACTGATTTCAAGGTCCGCAAAGTGCAAGTTGCACTGCGAGTTGTTGGTTTTATTGCACGGCTACTTATAAAGGAGTGAAGATTTGAGAAAGCAAAAACCTTTATTGAAACCCAAGGGCAGACTCTGAAATTGTAGCCTTAAGAAGCAAGTGATGTCATTCAGGGAAGGAAGCTTAACAATTACTATTTGTTTCCACTGCAGGATTCAGGCACATGTTTGTACTGGCCAGCAGGAAGGTCTGCTTTAGAAGGAAACTGTGGTGCTCTTTCTCTTCAAATTGGGAAATTCTGAGATTTTATTTTGAATGCCCCCGTCAATCCTATACTAACAGTACAAAACCAGAGGCATAGTTCAGAAATAAAATCACTAGGAAAAACAGCAGTCACAATACTCACTCTTACCAAAATACACACAGGGAAAGTTGTTAATGTCATTTTATGTGGTTAGAGAGTTACCAATATCCTTTCCAGAAAGATTTTAAGTAGACTGATGAGTAATATCCATTTGGAGAAGAGAAAGCTTGTGCTTTGAAAAATATTTTTTTACGGCTTGGTTTAGTCACTGTTAGAGCTTGACTTATTATTAATACAGCACATTGCGATGAAAATACAGTAGCTGGGCACAATCAAGGCATTATGTCTTGTGTTTATCTTTCCTTAATCTGCTGATTAAAACAATTAATGTAAAGTTTGATTTGGTCTTGTTTTTATCTGCAAAATGAAGTGCTGCAAAACCTAACTCCCATTTAAAATTCACTAGTATATTAAAATATAATACAACATATGCAGGGACAGGTGGCTCTCCTGATACCAGCCCCAATAATTATGGCTCCAGATTACTTGCTGCGTTTTTTTAGAAATGACACAGAATGGGAACTTTTTTAAAGTCTGCATGTGCTTTCTTGTTCTTCCCTTTTTTATGAAGCCAAATTCGATTGTGTGCCGTAATGTACTGTACCTTAACCAAGACACCAAGCAGTTTTTTGTATTAATAAAACACTATTCAAACATTCCACAGTTGACTGATCCACCAGGATGCTTCTCACTGTCAGTGTGACCTAATCTGCCCCCTTGAGTTGTCAAATATCACACATGAAAAGAAATTGAGAAAAACTGCAGCACATAATACTTCATTATTCGAAAACACTCCAGCAGCTACTGCTGAGGATATACAAGGAACCCTACTGGTCAAATTCAGATGAGTTGCAAATTATGTTTGCAGTAGTACAGGGCAATATTTA